GAGGTGAGGTGAGGTGAGGTGAGGTGAGGTGAGGTGAGGTGAGGTGAGGTGAGGTGAAGTGAGGTGACGTGAGGTGAGGTGATGTGAGGTGAAATGAGGTGAGGTGAGAGATGTTAAAAGATTATAAAAAGATATTAAAAAGGGAAAAGAGATAGTTAGAGATTTTAAGAGATAATAAGATTAGAGACAAGATAAGATAAGATAAGATAAGATAAGATAAGATAAGATAAGATAAGATAAGATAAGATAAGATAAGATAAGATAAGATAAGATAAGAATGTATTAGTCTCCACAAAGACAAACTTGTATGCAGCATGATATAAGTGCATGTACGCACACTCACTCGTCAACCATCCAGCCGATTCAAATATATGGGCGGCCATGACAGTGCGTGATCTAGGATATTACACTTCAAGTGTATGGGCGATCATGACAGTGCCTGATCTAGGATACTACACTTCAAATCTATGGGCAGCCATGACAGTGCCTGATCTAGGATATTATACTTCAAATCTATGGGCGACCATGACAGTATCCCATCTAGGATGTTATACTTCAAATCTATGGGTGGCCATGACAGTGCTCTGTCTAATCTATTAATATCTATTTGAATATTATAATTCTATGAGGCCACCTTAGTGCCAAGTTGAGCTGTGACGTTGGCATCCTGTGACCCGGGGAAGATCTTAGTCCCATCAAATATGTCCACTGAGGTCAAATGTTCATCTTGTCCCTCGCGCACAGCCGTCAGCAAGATGGAAATTATCTGTGGGAACAACGGAGGACATTTCATAGAAAGACAGATGATAAAATTATGGTTTGGCTACCTGTTAGGTATATCACCTAGCCAGCCAGCCTCTGAGCCTAAAACACCAAGCACTCAGGCTATAAAGAAAGAGGAAGGCCACGCAGAAGGTAGATTGAGGGAATCAAGGAAACCCTGAGAAATTATAACATCCCAACTGAAGGAGCTGCGGAACTGGCCTACCACACCCTCGACTCTTAACGGCAACAGAAGATGAAAAAGTTAAAGTCAAAACCGATCTAAAATTGTTTTTGATTCATTTAGGGTGGGCTATTTATGGGGCATTTTTACATCCTTGAAGACGTGCGGACATATGCGTCCTTCAAATACACACCATAGGCAAAATACTGTGACACATTTTGAACTATCACACACAAATTAGAAACATGAATATTTCACTGCATGCCTTTTGATGCATTTTTTGTTTTGGTTTTGGTTTTTAATAAGGTTTTACGGCGCTCGCAACAGCACAAGGTCATATGAGCGCCAAGGGGTAGGTGTCAAGAGAGAAATCCAAACGAGGAATCAGACGTACTCTGCTCATCTCTCTAGCCTCAACACCCCAAAGTCTGCTTCGACTGCCAAGGCACCCCGGAAATAGCAGTCCACAAGAGAGTGACAAACCTACAAAAGAAGTTAGGGAAAATTGACGATGGTAAGGATGAGGCAGGAAAAAGCAGCAGTTCCCCCTATGCTGTTCCAGCACAGTATGAGCATGACATTGATAAATCAGCCCATTTACAATTCTACTTTGCATAAGAACATGTTAATATGTTAATATCCCTCCTTTGGGAATGGCCGAAAGACACTTCAGTCAGTGACATTACCCTGATTTGG